TACCATGGCAACAAAAGTGCTGCGACCTTTAAAAAGGATATTTTGCGCATCCCCCCTGAACGCCTAACTACATGCAAAATTTGAAGGGGGGTTGAAAATTTTCGTTTCCCTAGATGTTTGATTCTCATAGAGAGTTGTTCTTAAACAAATTCTTATTGTCAGTATCTTATAAATTGAATAGCATGGAGAAGACACATTCCGATATTAAGGTGTAAAGTGGGTAGGGCTGGAAAGTAAGTAAACGGCATGCACTGTTCCTGTGCAAGTCATGCTTAACCCTTAGTTACTTTTTTGGGTTCAAGGTTAATGTAAAAATTAGATTTCAAATTACAACATCAAAATATCTTTTGGCCTTTACGGTTGCCGTGGATTGGTAAATTGTTGCGCACGTTACATTTAAGATTCTTTAACCCTCACCATGACACACATTTTTTGGAACTGGGAACAGGTGTATTACAAAAAAAACAGCACTTAAAGCTAGCAATAAATAAAAAAGTTTACATGCTACAGTGTGCTAAAGAACACCTGTAATGGACTGGCTTCAAGTACACAGAGGCTGCTAGTTTGAAAGAGTGAGAATGACTTTGAATGACTGTTATCAAATGAGCTTCAGGAAATTCAGTAATTGAGCTAGTAAACCACCTGTTTAAAATGCAGACTTTTAGCTTTAAAATAAAATTCATATCTCCCCAATACTGTGAATTTTCTCTACATTATAACTGAGGGAATTAAGAGATAAATTGCCGCCATAAAAATTTTAAACAACAGTTTTCTTTAGTAGAGGAATTAACCCCCGAAACAGATATGATCCCCTCTTTGACCTTTTATACCATATCACCAGAGAGCATATTCTCCATACTGTTCTCTATACATTTCCTGTAGTACAGACAAGGATAATTTGGGTATCAGTCATAAACTCCTTCGATAAGAGGTCAATTTTATTATCCTTATAACCTTTAGCGATACTGAAAGAAGAAATAGGCTGCTAACTCCTCTTAAGGGTTAAAGAGTTAAAAATGTTCAACGCCAGTTAATGAAGTAGCAGGAAATCGATGACACGATCCGTAACACAACTGAGGCTTTAATGAAACTGGTATGACGATAACAGAACGAGCGGGCTTACAGACACTAAAGGATTAGAACGAAGCGCGCGGTCATGCATGCCTATAACTAGCGTACCACTG